AAGTACGTTGTAATGTTTTAAAAGCATCAAATTCGGAACCAGCTTATCAAAATTGACAGAGTGACTCGCAAATGACTCTTTGTCTTTGCTGGATTTTTAAGATCACAAAAAAAGAAGCGTTTTTGCTGAGATTGCATCCTGTGTCATTTTCTTATCACAAAGAGGACGGGCAACTGTCAGTTTTATCTGAACGTGTAATACACCATTAAGACTGACCGTCCATCGGACGACGCGCGGCACACAACGTATTTCACACGTGAAAACTAAAGTGGATACAAAAATTAATCAGCTGCTTGCACTGTATGCTTCCCGGGAAGCTGAGAATGTTTCGGAGTGTTCTATGGTCTGCTGGGGTAATAATATAGTGTAAAGCACATAGAGCCTGCTGTTGAGCGGGGATATGCGCTATACAAATGCTATTTTTTTTAATTATTATTATTATTATTATTATTATTATTATTATCATTATTATTATTATTATTATTATTATTATTATTATTATTATTATTATTATTATTTAGAGTACCGCCTTACATAGGACGACACGACACTGTGGTAGCGAAAACCGCGTGTGTTGAAAAGTCAACATGTTCACTTTTTGTGAGGTGTGTGACAGTACAGGTGAACTCGACATGGATGAGTAACAAAGCACACGTGAGAAAATTCCTCACCCTTGTTGCATTTGAACCCTCTGTAACCGGGCACGCAGCTCATGCAAGCACCACTCAAGACACGGCATTTATTGTCCTTGCAATGGGCGGGGCAAAGTTTGCTGCGAAGAGAAGGACCATGATACTATAAAGGTTTAACTTCCTTACCATAGGGAAACGCAACGCATGATGAGCACACAAGAGAGACCCGTCTCTGTTGTGTGGTGATTAGTGGCTTCGCCGCCGCATGCATGGAGGAGACCTGAGGTCGATTTCCGGGTTAGGAAAACTTTTATTAAGTATATCAGTCCTTCTGAATGATGGATGTTGTGTCCCTCTCAGCTCATGTTGGCCCTTACAGGCAAGGTCGATGCCCCGCCCCCTTAAACATAAACTATCATTATTAACTGTGTCGATGGGGACTACATTTTAATGTTAACATTAAAGAGGCAAAAAACGAGTTGTTTAGACATTGTCATTTGAAAAAGTAGCGTATAGTCAAAGATCATTTAATTGAAGACGAAATTAAAAATATAAAAAGGCAATGCTATGGTCGTACTGACGTGTGGTTCAGAGATATGGAAAACAAAGAATTCAATTTAACTAAATTAAAAAGTTTCCAAACATAATGCTTAGGAACAGTTTTACAAACAATATGGAATGAACTTATTACAAATAATGAAGTTCTGGAAAGAGCAGGAATTGAAGATATCAACACGACACGTATTCTAAGAATGCCGAAGACAAGATTGCCCTATCAGACATGGTATTGTAGACCAACTGGAAAAAGAAAATGAGGAAGACCAACAGGAAGCTATAGAAGCACAATAAAGGATGACGCAATCACCCATGAATCACCTGGATGTGCCGTAATTGGAGACTGTGGCCAATTAGGATCGACACTGACCAAGAACAGCGAAGCACTGGGTCTTTGGTGGGTCAGGAACTTACTGTTTAGTAAATTTTCTATAAAGGTCATATAAGCGTAAAAAACCTTGAGGTGTTACTGGAGAGTTACACATACATACAAAAAGGGGAGGACGATATAAGTTTGTTAGGGAAAGGAGGAGCAAACCACACCAGAGCACACTTCAACCACCTGTGAACGTCCGGTGTTAGCTAAGAGGATAACACACAGAAGAACAAAAACAGCTTAAGTGTTATACTGAAGCAACACAGCACCAATGAGAATAGATTGTTACGTCTTTTGTTTTGGTAAGTGTTTTTACGGCGCTCGCAACTGCATAAGGTCATATGAGCGCGCGGGACACACCTAATATTTTCAGTTGGTAGGAAATTTTGAATTTTGCCCGGGTGGCGGCCGAAGCCTACTCTTATCGATTTTAGACCACCAAGGGATCTTTAACGTGCGCAGCTTGCACACGGGACCTCCGAAATTTTTCGCCCTTGTCCGAGAAGGCTAGGTGTAGATCTTTCCTACAAGAAAATTCGGGGTGTGGCTGAAAGACAGCAGTAAGAAGGAGCCAAGGAGAAGCTGTAGAAAGGCTGCAGAAAGAGTCAGGAGCCCAGAGGAGGGGGCAAAGGAGGTGAGGGGGGTAGGGGCAGAAAGTGGAAACGAAAGCAGACAACAGAACATTGCTAGAGAGCAGGAAAGGAGGTGAACGGAGACAATTTTAGAGAAGAAAATTTGTCGGTCGCTACCCGGATTCGAACCCGGGACCTTTGAATGAGAGGCCAACACCTTAACCTCTAGGCCACGCGAGCCCCCTCTTATGTCTTCTCATTGGCATAAAATTACACAAAGCGTATTACAACTATAATTTTTTTTTCCTTTTTTAAAACTAGAACATGGGCACAGAAGTTACAAACTTCACCAAGTGTAGAAGCACAAAACTACATAGAAGACGTTTACAGTGATGTGCTCAGACAATACAGATAGTCAGCTCTGGATTCCAATCTTTCTCCCTATGTGTTGTATTGTTCCATTATTTTTTCCTCAAGTTTTGTTAAACGCTTTGCTACTTGGCTTTAGTACATTTTCTAGAGCTGGTGACAAGGATAAAGAAATACGTACCCACAGTCTTTTGACCACCTGCCTCTGGGACAGGGCCCTTTCTGCTTCTTTTTGTCCTTTTCAGCGACTGTTTTGAGACAGGAAGAATGAGAGATAGTGCGTGCTATCTATCTATCTATCTATCTATCTACCTATCTATCTATCTATCTATCTATCTATCTATCTATCTATCTATCTATCTATCTACATCCAAAGATAACTACATGTATCTATATATCAATCTAGCCAGTTATCTGGTCTAATAACAAAACTTGAGAAGATATTAAGACCTTTTTAAAAAAACAAAACCTGTTTACGTATCTTACAGGGTAAGATTATTCGGAGTCGTTATCAAAATATTAGAAAAACTGCTTTGGAAAAAAGTTTGACATGTTCTGAAACTTTTCTTACGTCAGATTTCTCAAAACGAGGTACTGAGAAGAAAGAACTTTGTAATTCTAGGGTAGCAAATGGGTAACACAGGCGAACAAGTAGTTAGAAACGTATTGTCGAATGGTTCATTGCTGGTACGGTCGTTGGAAAAACGTCTTGAAGAGGGTTCACGGTTCTCTTTTTTTTCCATCTCTAGCGGTGCCTCTATGGTAGGGTGCACTCCCAGGAACCATTCCGACACTGTTTCTATACGACAGGCTCGTGTGCCCTGAGTCGTCTACACGTTATGTCCTATGTTGATGACGCATATATGACTTGTCAGACCAAAGCAAAACAGAAAACGCCGGTTATAGTGAGCGCAAGAAAATGTTCGATGTTGTTGACTATTTTTGCGTCACATTGAACCTCTTCGTGCGTTGCAATTATAAATGCGTTGGCCGTTACGTCGTTCCCCTTCCTCTTAAGACTTGTCTCATTTGTACCACTAGAAGTGACTTCTCCACTCTGTACCTGTGGTTGGTTGGCTCGTGATGTGGAGTGGTTTACCCCCTCATTGCTATCAAGCATCTGTCGTCCGTATCCCTCGTCCTTCTTTTCTGTGTAACTTGCTCTCTAGTAACATTTCTAATCTTCGGTTCTTTTATATTACTTTCTTGTGTTGCAAAGGCTTTGAACTCATCCTAAAAACTATAAAAACTAAAACTGTATCAAGGGTTGGTCAAATTTGCCACAACTACACAAGGTGTAGAAGACGGTGTCAGAGGTGTAACAATAAGACGGATAAGACGTTTCTCAGCTCCCGGAAGTCCTAAGTTCAAACCCTGGAGGGATGAGGCTGAGCTTACAGACACATCATAATATTACAAGAAATCCGCCTGGCCACCAGGCTAAGAGAGGTGAGAACCATTGGTAGTCTTCCCTTATCTTTATTCAAGCCTTTGTCACCAAACGGCAATAGAGCATTCGTTTTCTTTGGAATGTTATTTTGTTTCTGTTGTTGTTTTGGGAGGAAGGGGGGGGGGGTTATATCTCAAACAGTCGTTAACTCTCAACAGAAACAATCACAAATAAAATACATTAATCTGGACCTACCTTCATGACACAGTACTTTTGTCATATTACAAGTTTTGGTAACTTGTCTCTCCATATCAAAGGGTTTTAACAACAGCGATCGTGTCGATGTGCAATTCCTACGTCGAAGATAATTACAAGGCATTACGAATAAGATTCATGAACGAAAGAAAGGAAAAAGAGTTCAAGACACCAATCATTATTCAGCAACACCAACCGCTATTTCTAACAAAAACAACCCGTAAATATTTTCATTTAGATGTGCCGTGTAACTTGGCGTGAACACATTCTAAAATAGGGTGTAATTAAAGAAGTGGTCTAAAAGAAGAATGTAACTGTTCTATCCAGTAACCAAGACAGATAACACTTTAAGCACTGAAAACAAAGAGATCGGTATGTGTGTGCATGTCTGTGGAAGATGAGTCCCTTCTAGCTTTCTCACCAACCCAAACGAAAACGTTATTTATATAAAAACGATGTACTTTTGTATAAACTTTACTCAAAAAGCAAGACCTTGCCTGAACGTCACAGTTCTGTGACACTTAATTAAGAAGTAAATTTATAGAATACTGATCAGTCTTCGGTGACAGCTCGAAGTGATGCAAGTAATTGTTAATGAGAGTAAGGAGAAGACAGGTGTTCTTGAAAGGTAGCCAAAATTCTTGCTCCACACTTCTTTCTCCGGAAGTACTGGCACAATAGTGAGTCCACGAGCAAAGTCTAATACTATTATGGTTTGTGTTATTTCTGAAGGCCTCGTCCAACCCCCTCCCCACACCCACCCCTTCCCCACACCCACCCCCTTCCCTCCACCCTCACTTTTTTAAATGATAAAAGCAAAAATACAAAACTGATTAATCAAAGATAACACC